TGTCAATGTTGATGACGCAGATACGTGATGCAGGATTTCGTCCCTTCGCCGACATGCCTTTCTTTAAGAGCGGCTTGGCATCACACAAAGATTCAGGGTGTGGAAGGGATGGGCTGTAATCGAAAATCGATGCAGGATTTCGTCATCAACAGTGGACGCATTGACATCTTTTTTCGCCGAACTTTAGCCGGCTCACAGGGCCCTAGAGGACAAGCCTGCACATGGTTTTTCACATCTGTAACTATCAAGGCTGAATGCGTCAAGCCTGGGCCACTGAACCCCACGGCCCGCCAAGACCAAATCGCCCTCCTTCATGCTCCCCATCCCAAACCCCAAACCGAGCCCTTTTTCCACAGGCTTGAACTGCAAACCGAGCCCTAAACCTGACACTTCACCTGAACCTCTGACCGAGATGGACTCGAAACCTACCTGCCCTGTTTCTGTGCCAAAGAGCAAACCTCGCCCCCCTGAGCCGCCAATGCTGCTTGCTGCAACGACCGGCGTCTGACCTTGACGAGAGCCGGTGATTCCGTGCCGGGTTCCATGGGTCGCTTCTTGAAGGCAGTATCCTTATACCACCCTGAACAGGAACTGCAAAGTCTGAGGTGCGTTTTGGTTTTACGGGCGTTGCCGGGTACCGGAACCTTTGCTGCTGGTGCTGCTGCTGCTGCTGCTACTACTACTACTACCACCACCACCACTACTACGACGACGACTACTATTACTACTACTAAAGCCCTATCCAAGGTCCAAGATTCGAAGCTTAAAGCTCCACTGAAGCCCTGAGAGTCCTAAAACCCCCCCACTCAAGGGCTTTTGAAGGCTTTAGGGTAAAGGCGTAAAAAGGCTTCCGGGGATTCATTGTTTCTTGCACGCAACAGGGGATGGAACTTGCTTGGCGTTTTAAGCGGGTTTAGGGCTTCAGGCTTTGGAGTTTACGGTTTCTGTGCAGGCCTTCTCTCCCTCGGATGTTGGTGTCTTCCGGAACACCGAGCCAATCCAGTCCTGCTGACTGTTTTGCTTAGGGCTGCAGGGCTTTTGAAGATTCGAGCTTTGTGCTTTCGCAACTTAGGGCTTCAGGGCTTTAGAAGTTCTGCGCGTTGAGTGTTTCTTCGAGTTTTGGGTTTGAGAGAGTTTAGTCTTTGGATTTGAGGGTGTAAAGTCTAGGAAGTCTAAGCTAAAGATTCTGGTGGAGCCTTTCGGCTTAGGTGGGGGACCGTTTCATGGCGTGTTTTTGCTACTGTGTTGTACTCAACGGCACGGTGTACCCTGATTGCTAGAAAAGTGTGGAGTCTGTTACACAATCCAAACTCCAGGTTTGGTGATTTTCCGGATTTGCGTAGGCTTCGTCCGAGATTTGAATCGGGTAGCTCTTCTTCAACACTACACGATCGGAGACGAACGAATGCACCCCCTCTGCACGTCAACGACGATCTCTGAGGAAATCCGAGCAGGGCCACTCCAAGGATACTTGCTGGAAGGGTCCCAGAAGCTTACATAAGGCTAAAGGCTTCGATCTCGGAAGTGGCAAAAAGCCCTGGTTCATATCTGAGATGGCCTTCGTCACAGCGGGCCGCCGTTCCCAGAAAGACAGAATGATCCTGAGCCTCCATTGCTCGAACCGTCTACCGCGATGCTGAGCCCGAAAAGTGAAGCCCCAGCGGCTTGGCCATCACAGGGTCATAGCTCGTTTTGCGAACGGAGGAGTCTGTACTTGGCTCCGGGGCTTCGGCTCATCGCGTGCAATTCCTGTGTTTGTCCAGCTGCTTAGGGTTGAAGCACCGGTGCATGGTCGAACTCTCGATAGCAGGTGCCTGTAGCCATGCTGCGGGCACAGATATTAAGCTCCTTTCTTTGGCACGCCCTAAGCCGCAAAGCCTTAAACCATGCGGCCCTTAAGTCGTTACGGCTACGGGGTTGCTATTGCTGCTTTCGAAGCTTTGCAACATCCGGGCAAGCAGCGCCAGAGAAAACCTTGGGCACGTACCACTCGGTGCGACAATCAATCGAGGTTCACACAAGGCACGAAGAGTCAACCATGAAGCTCTCGAGCCCTGCATTTCAAACTGTAGCTGCCCCAGGTCTGCAACTCGTGCCGCACAGGCCAGCAGTGGAGTGGCTGACTCTCGTTCCGATCCTTCGGTCTTGTTTTGATTACGGGCCAGCTAGTGCACAGCCCTAAGCAACAAGCGTGTACGGGGCATCAAAATGCAACCACCATCTCGTACGACTTCAGTTCTGGTTTGGGAGTTTGGGAGCTTGCGCACACGGGGAAGTACGTAGCCTCCATAAAATGAGATCAACGAGGCTGTGGTGCTACCTGGGGTGGAGAACGTGGTATTTGCATTCAGAGGATACGGCGTCACACACCTTGAGCGACATGAACGCCCAGGGTGTTAAACGGTGATTTCATTCAGTTTCACTGTCATATAGTCCGATCCAGCGAACCCAAGACTCTCATGTTCCTGGGTTCTGCGTTAATAGGGTGTACGGGTCTCATATTCACTACAAGCCTACAAACGGAGGTAAGCCAAAGGCCTCCTTAAAAAGCCCTGAACCGTATCTCCTACAACCAAAATAACTCTAAACCCTGAAGATCTCTGAAGCCCTAAACCCCACATCCTAAAACCCTAAAGCGTTGAACCCCCAAGCCCAAACCCTGCAAGCCCGAAAAGCCATCAACTACCCTTCAATTGCCAGGCGGCGGAAGAACTCCTGCAGACGAGCCGTCTCATTTTTCAAGGCAGCATCCGCCCTCAGAAAAATACGGGCTTCACGTGGAGGCTTGTGGGGTTCACAGGCGTTTCTGTTTTTCGGTTTGGGGCTTGGCGATTTGGAAGATTAACACAGGACGATGGGACAGAGAGAGAGGGAGAGATCGAGAGAACTGAGTAGGAATAGTTAGTCGTTGTCATCGTCGTCGTCTAAGTTTATAAGTCTAAGTAGGGACAGTAGCCATTGCAGCAGCAGTAGGCAGTAGCAGTAGCCGGAGAAGCAGCTGCCGTGCCAGCGTTGGTCATGGTCAGCGCCAGTCTTGGTCATGGGAGTCGTCGCGGTAGTGGCCAATGTAATCGTCATCGCAGGAAAAGCAGGACTATGCACAGTGGCACTACCCGTCGCACGGTGTTCGTAACTGCCTCTTCGTCGTCGAAGACGCAAGCATGACGTCCTGACAAGCTAGCAACTAGTAAGACTTAAGAATATGCCACGTGTTTCCTAACACAAACAGCAGGAACAGAATTATAACATACCCCAAGACCTGATTGTAATTATGACGGCCTCTATATGGCCCCGATAGTCTAGCTGCGGAATCTGTCGAAGCCCAGGTGCCGGCGGTCAGTGCGGGTCCGCCTTCGGCGGACATTCGCGGGCAGGAGCTCGCCAGCCGAGGCCTTCAAGGCACGGTTTAGCGTCTAGCGGTCTAGCGTTTAGGGAGAAAGCCGGAGGGTCAAACTAGCAGTATAACCCCCAAAGCCCAGCTCTAAGGATGAAGCCGCTGCTAGACAAATTTATGAACCCCGAGGAGCCCTTATCAAGCCCCCTGTACTCAAGCACTTCTGAAAACATTCGGTTCAAGCTCCAAATACAACGGCCCCGATACCAAACCCCAAAACCCCTAAACCGGCCTAACCCCTAAACCCCAACGTCGAAGCCCTGGTCTAGGTAAAAGGCCCCACCCCGATATGTATATACAGATATACATATACATATATACATATATATATACATATATATATACATATATATATATATGTATACACATACATGTCAAAGCTAAGGCCAAGATGCTGGGAGTCCCAGGAAGAGTAACAGCTGGTCAAAGCAGGTCAGCCGCTTTGAAATGAGCCCTTTGAATGGAAGAACCAGAAGCCTCTCCTCAAGCAGCAGTTATGAATTTCAGGGGTTTGAAGGGGTAGAGGAATGTAAGACTCAGATTTCCAGAGCTTGGCCTTTCAGGCTTTGTTCCATGAGCCTCATGACCTGTTTGGGCGGCAGGCAACCCAAAGGGACCGGGGAATTCGGAGCAGAGCTCAACCGAGAACCCCCTCGCCAGAAGCTCCTAAGGAGAGCATCCGGTCCGAAGGCACACCTACAGCGGTCAGCAGAACAAGAGAACCGGGAAGTGGCCGAACATCATTCGAGAACGCGAACCGAACCACCCTCTAGGGTCTATGGTTTGCGGCTTCGGGTTCTCAGAGCCTGGACTCCGAACCTTCGGGTGGAACCCCCAGCATTTTTTTTGGCATCCCAATGAAAGCAAGCGAGGGCAAGAAGGCGATCCCATCGGGAGTCTGTGTTTGGGAATTTCAGACATCAGGGTGCGTAAACTCTATACCCGACCCCTAAACCCTAAACCAAAACCCTGAACCCTAAACCCGAAACCCCTAAATCCTAATCCTAAACCCTTTCCCTGAGCCCTGAACCCTATACTCTCAACCCCTAAACCCGAAACTCCTCAATCCTAACCCGGCAAACCTAAAATCTGCGACGTCTCAGGATTTAGCTCGAAATCCGATTCACTGAGCTAGGTACCCCATAGGGTTTACGGTTTCGACGGGTTTAGGGATTAGTGCATAAAAGATTGTCATGCAGTATGCTTCAAGATAATCATACTGCTCAGCATAGGGGTTGTAATGGTTTCAATTGGCATTTGGGGCACTTCATTGATAGCCTGATGTTATTGAGCAACAGTAGCCGTAAGGGATAAAAAAGGGCAATATACTAACCTTTACATGAACCGTTCGATCTATGAATGACGGGCCTTTCCGACTCTCACGATTCCACTTCTAGGGTTTTCCCTAAACCCTAAACCGGCTCCTGACCCACGGCTTTGTGGAGCTTCCATAGCACACGGCTGGGCGCCGCCGCGCCAAGGGACAGGGGAACACCCAGGCGCCAGGTGCTAAGCTCGAGCATGCCTGGGCTTAGAGCTTCGGCTCTCACACTCCGACAATGCAGCAGAGGCTTGTGGTCTTAAGTCGGCTTTGGGTGAGACTGCAAGAAATGAGAAAGCCGGGACTGCAACACTGGACCAATAGCAAGAACCCTTGCTAAAGGGGGTACTCTGCTCTCAGGGTTTAGGGCTCAAGATTTAAGAGGCTTTTTGTTCTTAGGGCATTTGTGTCGAAGGGTCTTGAAGTTTTTGAACGATTGCTTTGATGCTGCCTTTTTGCTATCTTGACAGCCCTGTGCGTGAGCAATACTGAGCAATCCCACTTTAAGCACATGAGCATCGTCGTCATCCTCGCCGTCATCGTCATCATCATCAACATCAACATCGTCATCGTCATCGCCGTCGTCATCATCATCATCATCATCGTCATCATCATCGTCACCAGTAGCAGCATCACCATCACCCTCGCCACATCATCTGGATCATGACTGCAAGCATCGCTGTTCCAAACGTGCTCATGCTTAACGTCGCGAATAGCTGCGTCTTGATCGAAAGCAGCGAACCAACGAGTCGGGAACAGCTTCGCAAAGGCTCATAATACTAATCGTCATACACTCGCATGGCTACCCCAAAAGCCTTCGCACCTCCCTGTAAACCTTGCAAAATAACATCTAAGCCTGTACCCTATGGCTGGTTCAAAGGCTGCCGAAGTACCACCTCCTTGCTCCTGCAGTGTCTGGAGTGTCGACGGGTCTTCTCCCTGCTCGGAGAGATGAATAAGTAGGAATGTCTCGTGTCGAAAGTCTGTATGCGTATAAGGACATGTTCTATACCTCTCTGGGTCTCTCGCTATGCTCTCTATGTGTGTGTATATATATATACACACGTCTGCATAAATAAATGCATAATTGTTTGTGTAATTACATGAATATGTATGCATATGTATGTTGTCTACAGGTGCTCGCCCCAGTTCCCTCCTTCGTGGACTCTGCGAAAATGGACCATGCCCTGCCGATCTCCTCTTACGGAGACTGGGGGCTTGCGGATACTGGGGGCTGTAAGATGCTGTAAGAATGAGGGCATCGGATTTGGGGCTTAGGATCTAGGAATTTGAAAAAGGGTCTATAAAGGTTACCATAACGGGTACGATACAGGTTAGTATAGGAGCCTAAACAACTGCAAAATGGTCATTAGGGTATCGCACTCAGAAACCCTGAGGAAGAGTATTGGTCGTTATCCAGGTTTTTTCTGACCGCAAGAAGCCGGGCATCGTTCACGCGATGTAGATTCAGATCAAGAGTCTCGGCTTTTGGTCTGGCAGGGCGCAGTGTCTCGGATTTCCGCCTAAGGACGCATACATTCAGGCTTCAGTCCGCGAGGTGTAAATTGCTATCTTCTGGCACATTGCATGGGCCATCGCACTGCAACTTAGTGTCTACGCTCCCGACTCCAGCAAAGTTCAAAAGAATCAGACAAGCTTGTAGCCCACCTAAGACTCCAACTCGCCTAAACTCAACACCCTTAAATCTCCAAACTCCCACAAAACCCTCGACTCAACCCCCCCTAAAGGCCCTAAACCCTCTTCCGGGCTCTTGGGACTCCTCCTCGGCGTCCTCGAAGCCCTCGAAGATCCGGTGAAGGGAACTCCAGAGCCAGTCGACGGGATCGCGCCAAACGGCGATGAGTCGGAGGCCTTTACGGGTTGGAACACTGTTGCATGTTTTTTTTTTGAGCTTTGCTTAAATGTGGCTTAAAATAAGGGTGTCATCATGGGCCTTGCAGGCTTGTCGATTCAATGTGTGGCTATATAGGGGTTTGATAGGTTTTGATGCGGCTTTTATTACGTGCAGTGATGGGCTTTGTAGGCATTGTAGGGGCTTAGGGCATCGGGGGCTGGGGTTGTCGGCCTAGAGCTCTGAATACGGCTTTGGGCTTAGGGTTTGGAGCTATGGGGGCTTAGGGTTCGGGTTGTAGGGCGTAGGGCTTGGCCCGGGCCTCGAGCTACCTGTTTAGGGCCTGGTCTGTTTTTTTTTTGGAACATGATCCTACGATTTGGAGTCCATGTTAAGGGTCGCCTCTATTGGAGAAACCCGACAAACATGTCCATGCATGCTCCATGCAACAGCAAGGAAGGAAGGCGGAAGGAAGGAACAAACGAACGAACCGAATTGTACTTATTGCAACGGCAGCAAGTATACGATCACTATAAGTGGCAGTCGCAAAAGAGTACTTGTACAAAGTCGTCCAGCAGTGATGACACGGTGGCAAACACAGACAGTTATATTGTCGTCATCGCAGCACCAGGAGAAGGAGAAGAAAGAGGAGTAAGAGCGAATGAGATGTGGACCAACACCAATACCAGCTACAGACATATTCGTGACTGACGACGGGATTTCGGAAAGGGCTACTCCACAACCCCAATCTCATCCCCACTTATCCGAGCTCGGGGGGATACTTAAGGCTTTAAAGATTCGCTCTTGAGGTCTCTGGCATGTTCTGGTACTGACAGTGACAGGAACCCCACGTGCAAGATCAAACTTCCAGAAGGTGGGCCCGGAACGAGAAGGAGGTTGCGCAAGCAGTTGGAGCTGTAGATGATCTTCGGGTTGCGGAAGGCCACCTGATGTGCGATTCTCGGCCGACTAATCCTTCTTGTCACCCTCTGACATCCCTCGAAGGCTAAGCCCTGAACCCCAAGAAGTGGAAAGCTAAACCCTGATAGTCTCTACCGACTCTAAAGCCTAAACCCAGCCCTACAGCACAACACATCTATGTCGATGTGCCAGTTAATTGTGGGCATAGCCCAGTACGGTGCTCTAGCAAGCTATAACTATGCGTATGCACGAGACACTCTCGGACAGCGACTCGAAACAACCATTTGCAGTTTGTCCAAGAAACTATCCCAAATCCTAAACTCCTCAAAGATCCGAAACCCTTCCAAAAAACACATCCGAAACGATACACCTGAGGCCTGATACATCGGTTACAGCTGAGGGTCTCAGGGGAGTCACGAGGCCTGGGTTGAGGTTTCTGGGCTGATGCTTTATCGTTTAGGGCTTTAGGGTTCCGGGTTGAGGGTTTAAGGTGCAGGGTTTCGACTCACACACTCGCAAAGCAGGCATGGCCCACAGCGTAGGGTTTAAGGTTTAGGCTTGAGGGCTTAGGGTTTCGACCGTGGGGTTTAGGGCTTGCAGCCGGGAGACTTGGAAGTCTGAGGATTTGTGTCATTTGTGCTCACACTCAGGCAGCTCTAGGAAACGGCACCCTGGGCTTCGGGAAACGAGCCCACGCAAACCCTAAAACTCCTAATGATTCTGATTCTTTCAGGCCCCTATGTCATAGAGCCTGTATAGAACCATGTTGAAAATCCACTCCCGCCCCTGCCCAGGACCTTCCTTTAGTGTTGAAGCCTTTGCGATTTCTTGGCTTAAGGCATGGCTTCGGAGACAGGAGGCTGTATGAGGTGTTGAAGCCGTGCGGGCTGGCTGCCCGCGAGTTGGAGTCTTTATGAAGGTGCGGGCTGGCTGCCCGCAGCGAGTTGGAGGCTTTATGGAAGGTGTTGAGGCCGTGCGGGCTGGAGGCTTTATGGGGGTGTTGAGGCCGTGCGGGCAGGCTGCCCACAGCGAGTTGGAGGCTTTATGGGTGTTGAGGCCGTGCGGGCTGGCTGCCCGCAGCGAGTTGGAGGCTTTATGGAGGTGTTGAAGCCGTGCAGGTGGGCTGCCCGCAGCAGGTGTTGAGGCCGTGGGGCTGGCTGCCCGCAGCGAGTTGGAGGCTTTATGGAGGTGTTGAAGCCGTGCGGGCTGGCAGGCGTTGAGGCCGTCCGGGCTGCAGCGAATTGGAGGCTTTATGGGGGTTGTTGAGGCCGTGCGAGCCTTGAGCCATGTTTTTGTCTTTCAGGTCGTAGGCCATGATCGGCGGAAGCCACACACAGCTTAGGCTAAAGGACACGATCGGCTAGAAGCCAGCAGTGACACATAGCGTAGATGTACAAAAAACGTTCTTCGACTTGTCACTGGGTTGCTGCGTTGTACAGTTCTAGGGCCTTCCGAGGGTTGACGGGCCACGCCTAGTCTGTAGGGACAAGGGTGGAGGAGACCTCGAGAACTGGGATGGGACTTCGCGGGACATTGAGGAGTGGACCCTTTCTTTCCGGAGGCTGAAGTCTTGAGGACTTCTGCTCTCTGGGATTCTACAAACTCTGAAAGTAGAACCGACTTAAGGATCCCTTGAAAAAGGAACCCAATCCACAATGCTTCGGAAGCCTCCCACTACAAGCCCTTGGGTCGTAACAGTTGGATCCTTTGCGGCCCAGGAACGAGGCCGTTTGGCTCCCGATCATCGTCAACCTACGAGCTAGGACTGCTTGGGTTGGAAGGATTCCCTGCGGCCTTCTACAATAAAGCTTTGAGACCGACGCCCTGAAGCTCTACACCCTGGGGTCCTAAGGTCCTAAGCCATGAGCTCGGAAGCCTTCAACCTTGATTCCCTCCTTCCAAGGTTTGGGGAGCGAGAGGGAGAGGTTTTGAGCATTTCTGGTGAATGGAGTGGTTGCTTCTATTCTCAAGGGGATGACGTCACTAGTCCTAGATTAGTCTAGGAATAAGCCAAGACGAATACTATTTCAACATAATCGTTCGCTTCTTTGCTATCTTGTTCCTAAACATTATTCCGGTTGTGGATATTCGATAGAACAAACCATTTCCATTTTCTCGGCTTACGGATGTCGGGTTGGTTTTTTTATGGTTTTCCATTTGTTAAGGTGATCTAGGGTGGGTGGTGTGGTTGAGTTTCTGTTGGGTCTGCGGTGGGTTTCTTAAGGTGGGCCGTGTGGTTGGCACTAGGGTGGGCTTCTGTGCAGGGTCAGGGTTTGGGTCTGTGATATGGCCTAGTGTAGGTCGGGTGGTTGACTTTCTGGTGGGTCTACTGCTGAGAAGATGGAAATGGCCATCGCTAACTTACCAGTGTCCCCATATGTAAGTGTATATATATATACACACATATGAATATAAAGATATAGATATACATACTACTGTTATGGAGCTAGTCATGCTCACTTGGGACTTAGTCCCATAGCGGACCCTCTGGAAGACTCTAAACCCTAAACCCCTGTGCTAGTCTGAGCTTTGCCTCGCGCCGGCGTAGAACTCCCAGCCCCTGCCAGTGATACAGATGTAATGTAGAGGCCTTAATAATTAGAACAGGGTTTGGGGGTATATGATACTATACTTACAATCAGGCAACCCTCCTCCCCCCCAAAAAAAATGGGAGGTGAAATAATTTAGGCCCCAATACTAGCCCCTCAGATCTCCAAGCCCCAATCCATGAAAACCATTGCAACTGCAACTCTGCAATATAGGGGCCTTCGGAATAAGGTGCTGGGTATCTTGTACTCGATTCAAGCCCCAAAATCATTCTGGCTTGAGTCGTGTTTGGGGCTGCTGGAGCTGTAGACTCCGAGAGCTGGCGTCCAGATATATAATAGATAATGAATAGTAAATAACAGATATTATATAGTATATATACATATATAGTATATATAGTATAGCATAGATGGCTTATATAGTATATTTAGTATATAGTATATAATAAATGGTGTAAAATATGGGCTGCAGACCACAGCCATTCTCGGCCTAGAGGTTGGTTTTGGCGTCCCGGGAAAGGGCACTGGGAGCATGCCGCTCACAAGCACCTACGAAACTCCTAGACCCATGGCCTCAAAGGCTTAAGACGAGCCTTTGTGGCAGTGATGATTCGCTCTGCAGTCACAGTCCTGATGCCTTGGCCCACCCAACAGGTGGCAGCAGAGGCGCCGTGCATCGCCATTGCCAAGATTCCTGCGCACAGGTTTGGGGCGACGGCTGGATTGAGGTTTCGGACACCAACCAGATCGAAAAATATCTAAAAATACGCGACAGGCCAAAAAGATACTGCTGCAAGAACTCTATACACTCTCCAGAAAGGGATCTTCGTACGTCAAGGATGAGCTGCTACAAACCGTGAATTGCCAAGCTGCTTTCTGCCTCTCCAAAGTTACATCGTAAGGACCTCAGGGCCTTAGGGTTCTAAGGGTGCCGACAAATTTGCATCCATTCTGTGAACATTCAATCCCCAAATCCCGAATGACAGCTTCTAATATTGGGGCCTGAATCATCGGTCATTCTGGAGCTTTGTTCTCCAAAATAAGAAACATATGAAAGTTGTACTCCCCCAGTCCTGTTTTGATTGTTAAGGCCCCTAATGATGAGAACAACACAACTCACCAATCCAAGAATGCGCGATGCGAGATCGGACTGCCTTTCCGTCGGCTAAATGAAACATTCTTGGAACATACTACAATGCGGGCCTGTGATGATTGGAGTAATGTGTTGGGGTGTTCCATACAGTCATCATGGAAAAGGCTCTACGCGCTTTTTACTTTATTCACAACGGTCATATCCAGCACAGGTTTTCAAAACAGGACATATTAAACTATGTGTTATCGTAATGCTTTTCGATACGACAAAAAGATACAGTTGGGATGCCGCCGAAACTGGGGATGCACTTTTCGATACACATTACAGTGCGATTTGGACGCATGCCTTAACTGGGGTTACACGTTTCGATGCACACTCCAAAGCGATTTGGATGCATGCCGCAGCTAGGGATGCATTTTGCGAGCACATTCAAAAATGATTAGCGTTGCACTCGGTGGTCCGCGGGAGACGCCTTATCCTTACACAGACAAACCAGTCACACGGAGAATGATTATTGAAATCGTATCGGAAATCGCATCCATTCCCCCTTCTGATTAATGTTAAGGGGAAACTAGGGTCCGAACCGATACGGTTTTCGATGCGATTTGGGGTGCCGCTGGGGGCCCCAAACCAATCCGTTTGCCGACACGCCTTCCGATACGATCTGCGGGGCGGTCGGGGGTCCCTCGTTCGAGCGATAAGATGTTCGATGCGATCCGGCGGGCGGCTTGTTGGTACGATGCACTTCCCTAGCGAAAATAAAAACAGAACAAAGTCTTTGGAAAGAGGCTCAAGGGTCTCAACTCCCCAACCCTTTCAGAAAAGTTGCTGTGATTGAAGTCTTGTTGCAATTAACACGACATGGGCCTAACCTACGTAGGGGCCGAACGTAACGATCCTGCGATCCGCGCAGCGGCGTTGCTAGGTAGCAACGTTATTAAGAAGCGCATCAGGAGTCGTATTCAAACGTGTATTGTACCTGTGGACCACCTCTGAAAGTGTATCGTTCACACGTACCAAGCGTATTGTAAACCACAAAGGAAATCAGTTTGGACACTGTCTTCCTGTAATTAATGAAGATGTCCTAACTCCACTTCATTTTTTGGCCAAGAATCAACACAAGCTTAACTTCCCACTGCATGGTCCTCGCTTCGCAGCCAGGAGACGGGTAAAGGCATCTCCTTGTACCATCGGCAGCGCCCCAAGCCGAACATTTTGAGCTTGAGGTTTCGGGTTTCGGGTTCTTAACTGGTTCGCCCCAGCGGTGATCCCCCACCGATCACCACAATTGAGTTGCAGACCATCCACAGCCTCAACACAGCACTCGAAAGCCTATTCGAAAAAAACGGCCAGAGCGACACATGCATGAATATACATTATGTGGAATGGGGGTCTGGTGACTACAAAGAGTATAATCTCACCGCATGCTTCAAGGGTCATCCGCGCCGCCCAGGAAGTGGGCACCCAGCTCTTGCAAGCTCCGGTGGAGGGAGGAAGTGCCAGCGTTTGGAGGACCGATCTGGGTGAGCTTTGACGTCACTTGGGCTTTCGGCCTTACAAGGTCCATAGGGCTTATATGTTTTACTGTAGGGGTGTAGGGCTTTAAGGTGCTAAGGTTTAGGGCGTTTAAGGCTTTCGGGGTTCTAGGATGTACGGGTTTCGACTCACTCTCGCACAAGGCAGGGCAAGGCTCCACACAATGTGGTCACGCATCATGACCCCGTGACACCAATTTGCCTAAGAACCATCTAAAACCATTAACCACCAGGAAGGCCAACATGACATCACTCTGTATCATGAAGTCATTGCTTCATGCTCCACATGTCTCATGCAGAACAAATTCACCACCAAGGATCTGTTTCATTCTGAATTCATTGTTGTCCCGGCCGAGCTACACAAGCAGCTGAATAGCTTACGTATGTCGTCATTTCAACCTCGCCGGACAAACTGCTGAGTGTTTGCGCCAAGCTTTGTGTAGTTTTGCACTGACACAGTCCAGCAGAAACCTGAAGCAGCCGTCACAATGGGACCATAAGCGCTTTCTGGCTCAGCTCCATATTGTATGGGCTGCCCCCACATGCTGTCAGAGCTCAGAGTACAACCTTTTTCCGTTGGGTAATGCTCTTGCCGAAGAGGTTCGCCTGATTCTGTTGGTTGCGAAGAGTGATCTGACGAAGCTTAACTTTCTGAGCAAGCACGTCAGCTGTTGCCTCGGTGGTAATGAAGTCCATGAACTCTTTCACTTGTGCTGACACAGGTTTTGTGAGTGCCTGTTGTGGTACCTTGTTGGAGAAAGACACAGCAGCAGAAAAGAGCAGAGCAACTCACGCTGTTGTATCATATAGGCCCCTGTTCGCACACCTGTTGAGATGCTTGCCGAGGACACAGGGGAGACAATCGTCGGAGGCTGAGGTGACATGAACACATCCTCGTAGACAGAGAACTGGGTGTCTTCACCAATCCACGACTCCGGGTATTTCTCTGCCGTTTCTTCCAATTTCCCTGCACTGCTGATCCTCAAGCCAGCAGAGTACCGCTGTTCTGCTCGTAGTCCTTCATTTTTCGGCATGCTTCTAGAACGCACAAGAACCACTCACCTGAGAGCTCACGTCCTAGAGTTTGCACAACTGGCGTGGCGCATGGATGGAACGGGCTGAGCATGTTGAGCAACACCTACCGATCTTCTTCATTGTCTCCGTTGGCACGGTCCTTTTGGAGCCGGGGTCAGCGATGATGCTTCCCAACCTGTCTCTGGCGGAAACGAGACCTGATCCCTCGACTGTACCAGCCATTGTAGGAAACAAAGAAGGTTTTCTCGTGTCCGGCTTTTGTAAATGCTTGAGCCAAAGTTGCATTTAGGGTTTAAGGTTTGGGCTTTGGGGTTAGGGGCTTTAAGGTTCTAGCGCTTACAGGGTTTTAAGGTGGACTTTAGGGGGTGTAGGGTTTTTGGGAAACAGAACTTTACGGTTTTGGGTATATTTATTGGTATGCAGTGGCTGTCGAAATCAGGGTCTGTTTGCGGTTCTCTGACTTCCATAGGGCCTCTAATCGCAAAAAACCGATACCAGAGTCCATTGGTGGCGAGGTTTGCTGACAAAGGTGGCAACATCACTTCCGGACGTCGGTGGTAGTTTCTCTTGCCTCTAGGATGAGTGTCGTTTCTTGCGTGCCAAGTCAAATATTTCAGGGTTGGGGTTACAGCAAGAGTCCTAGTTCCGTCTCGAGGGCGCCTCCCAAAACAGCCTCAAGCCGTCTACCTTTACCCAGACCCTAACCTTTAAACCCTTACCAACCAGAGTCCATTACCACCCTTCTCCCTAAACTTGAACCGTCACGGCTCAACCCTAACCCTTGACTCTGTAAGTGCTAAACCGCTTACCCTAAACCCTCCCAACTGTCTGGCCGTTCAACACCCATTAAGCAAGACATGCTGGCGCTGACCGCCATCACACCAGGGGAAGGCTTCCGGGCGAAAACTTGTCCCTTTACCAAGGCCTTATTTTGTTGGACCGTTTCAATCGGCTTTGGGGGGAGAGTTGGCAAGGAAAGGGAAGGGTACACTCTAAACTCCAAAATTCAACAACCTAAAACCCAGAACCCCAAACCCTAAACCCCAACCTTTTTGCTGCAGGCTTGCAAGCAAGAACGCCTGATGGGTAGCCACTCTTCCGCCAGCTAGTACTTTGCTCGTGACATCTCATGCGACGAATCTAAACCCCGAAACCTCCGAATCCTAATCCTAAACCCCAAACGCCAAAACCGGCAAGGCACAATGCCGAAGTTGATCTTCAACTCGCTCCAATGCACTAGCTCCTGTGCAGACACATCAGACCAAGAGTCGGGTCTAGAGTTTGAGCGTTGCGGTTTAGGGCGTGACGCTTGGGGATTAGCGCTTTAGGGCTTTGGGGTTCAGGCCTTAGGCTTTGGTCACTGTTTATTCCGTTGCTCACTTGCACCTCGGCAATACAAGACGAGGACTACATGCGACTGGAGTGGTTGCAGGACGAACGGCTGTCGATTTCACACCGCAGCTCAAGCACCTCGGACATGTAGAGTTTCTTACGCACCATCTTAGCTTGAAGCTTGCGGTTTCGGATGGTTTAGGCCTTAGGGTGAGCATCAGGAAACAAGGAGCCCGGAATAGAGACCCTGAGTGGACAAAATCGACAAAACCAAGGTTTTTGAACAATCCAGCCGGCTCATGGCCTGATGCATGGTTCAGGGTTCCAGAAACACTGGGAAGCAACACGCACGGAGTCAGTTTGGGTGCCTCGACATGGAGGCCGGACAACTCTTCCTGATGGCAGCAGCAAAGGTTTCGGACCCATACGAGATGGAATTACGCAGGCTAATCTCGATTGAGATTGGCTTGCAGTCTGAAGTTCCGAAGTTCATGTCTTTGCTTAGGCGGCAACTCACAGCTGCGAAGGAAGACTAAACTGAAACTTGAGCTGCCTGGGGCGAAACTGTGCGCCTAGCAATCCTTCAAGACACAGTCAACCTGATTTCTGCAAGGCTACAGCCGACGTCCTACACATGTTTCACTCAAGGTCCTTGTCCGCTTCTTTTTACGTTCAAAAACATCAGCAAAGCTCCACACGGCCCGCACAATCAGCAGCCATGTCAGGCAAGTGTTCGGCATACCATCATGACGTCACTGCTGCCAAGGATCAACATGATGCGCCTGGTTTCCCGTGATTGTGGACAACGGCACCGATCGAAACAGTTCAGCCGCCGATGCACTCAAGGCCGTTGCTTCGCAAGCCTTGTCTTCACTACGACATGCCTACAGCTCCCCAGAGCCCTACAACCTCCGATGCCGAGAAGCAATCTAACAACCATCAAGGAAGAACTCCCTTGCCGACGTCCAGAATCGAGAGAATTCACGGTTTTCTGGCTGTCGGCTATGCAAGGCTCACCCGAAAGGATACAGGCTTCTCTTCTTTCGCTCGTTCTCGAGACCTAGCAGGCAGCTCGTTGCGAACATGGTACTGCTGGTAGACAAACGCCCAGCAGCCTTGGCACCAAAGCATTGGAGGACGGTTCATGGACGAAACAAAAAGAGGTCCCGGCTTAGAGTTCGGACAGTAAAACCCTCCTGTTGAATGGCACGGCTATTTTGGCATCAGGACCGGAGCAATCGCCTGAGGGTCTGAGCACGCGGAGGTCTTGACCTGCCCTAATAGCTCCCGAACTGAGGGATCCCGATTTTCATCATTTTTGCAGAGAGTAAGGGTTTTGTAGCAGCAATGTGCGTTCAGCCTGCCTGCTATCGCCCAAAGTCGGACAAGAGGGGCTTGATGTAACCAGAATGTAACTAAGTCGCAATACAACTACAATGTAGCTTTTTTGTGACCAGCTACAATGTTCCTGCAACCAATCACAACATAGCTGTAACATGTATACACCTAAACAATATACTACAACATGCCTGACACAGTCTCACAACTATTTTAATGCCTGCAAAGCCCCAAAGCCTGGATGTGGAAGTCTCAACTACCGAAGGCCGACATTCTCGAACTTCAGCCCGTTGTTGGGAACTTCAGCCGCGAACCCGAAGCCCTCTAGAAAGGATCATAGAATGATTCAAACACACTCATGCTCCAACTACAAGTAGTAACCGGATGAACTCGTCTGAAACCGCGTCAATAGCTCTTTGAGCAACCTTTAACGCCTCAAGTAACCTTCGCAGCGAACCTTACAGCAACTTTTACATTGAACGAATCCTTGCAAAGACCCGCACAAGAACCGTTCTAACAACTCCTTTGGTGGCCCTTGCATACGAAAGCACTACTACACTGCCAAAGCGTCGAGGGCGAGTTAAACCCTATACCTTAAACCCCTAAGTCGCAAGCCCTAGAACCTATTCCCCAAAACTCCCGAAACCCTGAGCCAGCGGTGGCCACATGTCACACATCCCCAGCCTTGAACATGCTGCAGAACCCTTGCAGAACCTTTGTGATGGAATCCTACACCCATAACACCCCTCAGCCCCAGTGGCCACATGTCCATGCCCAGCACAGGTGGCCCCTCGAACTTTGGAGGGGTGGCCAGGCGAAGCGCGAAGCATCGTACATTCGGACCTTGAGGATGTGGAAAGAGGCCCTAAGAAGTAGCTGCTAAGCGCTTTCTCTACGCAGAAACAGGTCTATATCGCTTTGCATAGGTTTGGTAGGCCTTTACAACGGCCACAAGGATGACAACAAGATTGACATACATGTGTTTCCAGTTTCTATACGGGTTTCATAATGCCCATTCGAAGAACTTTTCTGGGAACTTTAATCAGAACATGGTTTGGGACAGTTTGGTATTCCATATATGAGCATGGAAACCTACTAGGCTTTTCACGAGTTTGGACCTTTAGAGCGAGAAAGGAGTTGATTTGCAATGTCTTGGTCTAATTTAATATTAACACTATCCTGAATTTCAACAGGGCTGGGGTGTGCTATGGAACAGTTTTAATGGTGTCGTAGCGGGAAAATATCACCATCTATTCAGGCCCGTATATTTGGGGTTTAACTAGGGGTCGAGATGGAAGGTGTTCTGTCTCGACAAGCTCGGGCTACCATCGAGCCCCAAGATTTGACAAGCTTTCCTCACCGAAGGCAAGCCCAAACGTAGCAAGCGTCTTTGAACGTTTTGTTTCATCTATCGGCGGCTCCTTCCGTCTTCAGAGGAAGGAAGTTTAAGGTCTTTGGAGAGCGGGGACTTCTGGAGACAACCAGGCTTGCCCATGGCTTCAACCTTGCTATCCAAGGGTTTCGGCCTACGTGTTGCCATTTTATAAAGGATCCTATGCTAGAACCCTGTAGCCCTTTCAAAAAAACCATTGCAGAACCCCATAATACGTTTCAGGGGGGATCATTGCGCACTCTCGCCTTGAGCTTCTTGGGTTCCATTGGGCAGACCCTGTTACGGTTGTTACACTTTGGTGGCGCAAGGCCGTCATCACAAACCCTAACCCTATACCCTAAACCCCGCCCTAATCATGACAAATCCCAAACCTATACCCTATAAACCCTCAACCCCTAAACCTTCAACCCCCTTAAACGCCAAACCCCTTAAGCCTTGAACCGCAAAGCCTAAACCTTGAAGCCTAAAGCCTGAACACGAAACCGCGGCGGCCTTAGCCTTCAACCCGGCTTTAGGCCGACATTTTGGGGGCCTTCGTCATTAGAATAGGGTTCCTTTAAAGGGTTACTGTAAGGGCTAATTATAATCGGGATCTATGATAGGGTTCTATACTAGGGGCCACTTCATAATTATTAGAATAGAGTTTTGCGGTCTATTATACTCTACATATAACACGGAACCCTAAAACCCAAGCCTTGAACCCTTGAAGCCTTCAGCGCTGCAACCGTAACCGTGTCCCACCCACGGTCTCAAGGTTTCGGACGTAGGGTTTAGGGGGCTTAGGGTTTAGGGTTTTAGGACTTCGGGTTTAGGGGAGCTGGGGGGTTTAGAGTTCAGGGTTCAGGGCCTGAAACCCGAAATCGAAACCTGAGGGCTTCAAAAGGCTTGAGCAGGGTGTTTAGGGTTGACCTGAACCCGAAACGTAGAATTTTTGAGGCTTGATTCCTGGCTCCCTCGTTCGCTTCGAGGATGCCCTTGGACAAACTCATCTTGAGGATTTGGGGTTTAGGGATTCAGGGTTTAGGAGAAACCTCCTCCACCCGATCTCAAGCAAGCGGCTTTGCAAGAGCTTTGGAGCAAACTGCTCCTCGAAGTGAACGTCCGCCTGCATTAAAGGTGGAAGATTACCAGAGGTTTGGACTCAAGGCAGTTCCTACACTTGTGACCCTAGTGAGAGGGAGGTTAGCAACTGGACTGTGACCAAACAAGGCTGTTAGCTTGGTTCCCTTGAATCCTCCGTCGGCATGTGAGCTTAACACTGGTTCTGATTGCCATCTGAAGTCATAATATGATTCCGTCCCTGGAGAGGGATTCAGACAGTGCAGTTCATGAATTGGTGTTGCAGGCGACCGTGCAAGGGATTGCACGCAGATGGTTTCATGTCCCTTAACCTCATCCCGTGCAAACTCACGCCGGCATGACCTGACGACAAAGTGTCCGGGAAAGCGATATAATTAAAGGTGTTCTTGATTCGGACCACTTACCAGACCTCTCTGTCAGGCTCTTTCTTCAGCTTCCTTGGAGCCCATGCGGTTGCTTTGCGGCGTTTGTGCCGGGTTTGTGCTGGGCTTTTGGCACAGGCCGCAGTAGTCCGGGCCGGAGGCGCTCGGGGGTCCCGCGGGCCAGGGCCACAGCCACGGCCGTCATGAGAGACTTTGCGAAGCTCATTTGGCCGATGCGCAAACTGGCAGTTCTCGCCATGTGGGCATTGACCATGCGAGTACTGGAGCAGCCTGCACCTCCGCGGGTGCGAGCACAAAGGAGCAAACGCCAAGGTCTCTGCAACTTGCGCCGTATCTGCACATGCGAAGCAGCTGGCTTGTCTGGGCAACCACCACGGGAGCAAAGAGCAAGGGCCGAAGAGTTTGAGCTGACGCTTCCGTTGAGCCGTAGCCGTTTTTGGTCCACAGGGTCTAGACTCAAGACGAGATACAAGCAAATTAAGGCATTTTCTTGGACACTCCCATTGATTCAGTGCAGCTGCCGACAATCAGAGGTGCGGGTGGCTACAAGACCGAGCAAGGGCCCCAAAGCTACGCGGCTGAACCTATCAGCACATGACACAAAGGACCAAGCTGAAGCGTATCTCACGCAGCCACTCCGATGAGTGCTTCTTAGCACAGGCAACTTCAAAAATCTCGACGCATGACTTCTTCAACCCTCCTGCCGCAGTCAGTTCAACAAACAGTGGACCGACTGCTTTCCTGAACGTATAGGGCATCACAATTCTTCTTCCAAGGCAGGTGCGGCCGCCAATCCAACACGTGAAACCCTCTAAAGCCTTATGGGTTGCTACACCTCATGTGCTTCTGGCAATGTGCAAAACAGGGGCCCGCCTTCTGCGGTTGCTGAACCAAAAAAAGTTTCACAACCTGCAAACTCTCATCCACTCAGCCCCTGTGCTCCCAGGACCAGGACAACAACCTGCAACAGTGAAGTGGCCTCTAGAGACCACAGAACGCAGGGTATGAACATCGGAGCGGCGCACAGCAGGAAGTCCTCGCAGCGTTCGAAGGGCACCTGGCCAGAAACTTTGACCCCCAAGCCTAAACCCGAAACTCGGACCCCTAAACCTGATACTCTGATGCTAAACCATCAACCGCAGGCCCAGAAACCCGAGGTGGGAAGTCTTGGAAGGGCCGCTCGGTGAAGGTATAAGGGCAGAGGGATCCCAGCCCCGACTCTCCGGCTTGTAGGCCTTGAGGGCTTCGAGTTTACAGGTTTCAGGTTTACGGGTTTATGGGTTTAGGGTTGAGGGTTTGCGGTTTGGGGTTTACGGGATCATGGGTTTAGGGTTTAGGGTGTGCAGCAGTAAACATGTGATCTTGTCTACTCGACACGATTACATGTGTCTCTGACATGTGCTTCCGGGGCACACATTGAGCTCTAGACTTAAACAGGAGGGACTTACTATTACTGTTCACTACTCGCGTTTCTGGAGTGAACATGGCGCACATGTATTCGGTCTTGCGGGTGTAGGGGTGGGGCTACCTGTAACGATCAGCGCCTAAAGCTTCGGGTTCGGAATTCAGACTTTCGGGGTCGCGTGAGGGTTTCATGTTGGTTCGGGATCGTACCGAACGCGTTTGAAACCCATGTAGTTTCAAGCCTCAAGGATACTCACCTATAGGTTTTCAGGTGCAGGGGGAAGGAGTACTTTCTGCTTGAATTGCAGGGTCATATATAGTCATGGTAGGTGAAATCAGAACTCTGCACACCGGTGCTGACAGGAACCAAAGCCCAAGATGACGGATTCCGGGGCTGGCATCTCCATGCACCGCGACGGTTCTGACTCGCTTTCTGGTGAACCGCAAGCACTGCCTTCCACCGCCTCACAGCATAAAGACCTACTGCCAACAATCCAAATTAAGTCCAACCTGAGTTATTGAAACAGCCTGAGAAACACCACTGCAGGCCTAAACGCTTAAACTAGCCAGTCGACAAACATACTGATTGAGAACATGTTAAAAGTTATTCTCCTCAACCCTAAGCCCTAAAACCGAGACCTTGCAGTTAGCTCCCTAAACCCGAAACCCGACATCCTAAACCACGAAAGCTCCGGACTTTTCAACGTGAGGTGTCTCAGCTCGGCTTCGCGGCTTGTGTTGCGATTGTGCAAAGGATGCAGCGGCCGGACAGGTGCGGGAGTGTCTCTGGTTATGGGTTTAGGGGAATAAGACTCGGGTTTTGGAGTGCACTGTACTATATCTATATATATATATATACATATATATATATATTTCATAGGAGGATTGTAAAAAAACACCACTATGTGCAAACTCTTCTAACTATTGGAGCCTCCAGAGTACAGGCAAAGACAAAAGTGGTGTCACAGAACGGGTTCCTGCCAGTGCATATAGATCAAATACACAAAAAAGCTCTTCGCAATATGTCCACCAGTCCTCAGAAGTAGGGTCTTGGGATGTGTTCTAACTTTGCCAGGACCGGAGAACGACAGGGGGAACTGTCCGACAGCACATAATTTACTGATTTACGTCTTAGGGCTTGGTACAGTTTAGGGTCCAAGGATATGCACCTCTGGACCAAAAACCATCAACCTTATGACCAGGTCTCCACCAACATATGGGCGGCTGACATGAAGATCGTCCCTGCGGTGAAGCCCGAAATCAGGCGACTGGTGAACTGGAAAATGTGCTATCGAATCTATAGTGACTTGGGTTTTATGGTTGTTGTACGAGTATTTCTTCCGGGTTCTATGGGCACATCGGGGTCATGGCTTTATGCAAATGGAGCTATACAGCCGCGAGACACGCCCAAGGTCGTCTGTGACCCCAAATGAATAGGTCAGGACTTTTTGCCTGCCAGACGAGAATCTCTTCTGATTGCTGGTGGGCTGACCAGCTCCTCCCGTTTCAACCTGCAGATTTATGATAGTCTTTTGCAAACACAGAATCAACGAGTTTTGGCCACACTGATCATGCGCGGATAGCCTGGCAACTATCCACATGTTGCTCTCCGGACCTGTAAACAGTCTCGGTGGTTACACTCAGCCAGACTCAGTCTCCATGTCAGTCTTCTGTGTGACACGCTCACGAAGTGCGTGCCATCAATGACAATAAACAGCAGGACGATTGCGAAAGGGCTGGGCTCTTGCGACCTGTTCCATACCATTCAAAGACAGGGCACCGTGCGAACAAAGATAACTCCGATAGTGAACATCATTGCGAAGGCCATGGGGCTGATGGCCATGAATGACGTGATAGTGAGAAAGACCATGACGGTCATGTGGATGTTGAGTTGAAGACGGGGACGAGACCGAAGTGGCGAAGATGAGTAAAGTTCATGGCTGGAGGCTGGCGACATAGCCTGCTGCTTGCCAGACCTAGAATCCCGGTAAGAATCTGAATCCTGCGCAGGGTGATGGCAGCGACCATCGCAGAAGCGCCCGTGCTCCAGCGACATATCGTGGCCCTCACAATCTCTTGCCCCAATACAGAGGGGTCCACCCAACAAAGACGTAGTTAGTCAGAAAGTTGCAGCGGCATCTGAACCCGAATGTATGGTCACGCTTCCATGGAGAATATAAGTACCATGGGAATGACGACAGTAATGCCTGTTTCCGCTAATGGCAACTCTTGATTAATAAACCCCCCCTCCCC